AATCGTTCCACATCCGACCTTTTTGAAGGTTAAGGCCTTAATTTCAGCGATCCCAAAGATTTCTCTAGCTTTCCTTTCCACTTTCAGGCCGTCCCGCAGCTCAGTCATCACTACGAAGCGCTCTTATCACCAGTTTTATCCCGGGGCTTGCCTTTAATATCAGGTGGTTGCATGGCCTTCAACATGTAATAGCGTGGTGACTAGACTGACTATCACTAGCAATGATTTATACAAAATATAATATTATATTACTTTATTAGAATCTGAACCGAATGAATAATGATATGCTTCATAAAGTATGCCTTGCATGACTATTGCAATAGGAATTAGAACCCGTAGCGGTGAGCAATAGCAGTTAAATAGAAAGAGTTGTCGTCGAAAGCTGTAATGTCGAATAGCTGCGATTCGAAGCGATCTAACCCAGAACAACGAACGCGATTAGTACAGTTGATAAACGCGGTTATAAATGTTAAGTGAATTGATGCAGATGACTCCTCGGCTTTCGCCCCGGTTTTCCTGCCCTTGTACAGCCGAGGCGGCCTTGGAGCCTTGGTTGATGTCGTGGGTGGTTCAGAGAACAGCGTAGCTTTCAAAGTGTAGTATCGGCTGGTGCTTCTGCTGGATGTGGTCCTCAGCTTTGCAGGATCCGTCACTGGAGGACTGAACGTCGTGGTTGTCCGTCTTGTCGTCGGCGCTGTAGTGGTGGATGTGGTTGACGTCGTAGTGGTGGTCGTCGTCGGTGTCGTCGTCGATGTCGTCGTTGTTGACGTGGTGGTCGACGTGGTTGTCGAAGTGGTGGATGTAGACGTCGACGTGGTCGTTGTGGTTGGCCTCGTCGTGGTGGTTCTCGGTGTCGTCGTCGTGGCCACCTTTCGTTCGTCTCCTCTGCTTCGTCTGTGGAGACTACCTGAAAAATCGGGATGAGAAAAAGGATAGTCAGTTATTTTTTGGCTTCTGGTTCATTTGTCTCAAAAACAGCCGTTTTCAAGTGATTATAATATCACGGGTTCTTTATTAAACCCAAAAATGTGGCTTCAAAAAATATCGTACCATCTTTCTGTTATGATCACGGTTTTAAAAAACATCTTTGCTCATTATTAACCATTTTTTTCTTTGAGCTCTCTCCTCCTACCAGCTGCCGCAGCCATAACTTCTTTTGAAGGTTCAATTACGGAATCCCGAGATCACCTCATGAACCTAGCGAAATGGTGGCCGAATATGCCATCCACCATAACTAACCATCGAATAGGACCTATCGTAGCATCGCGCCCATGAGGATAGGCCAATGGAACGCAAAAAGGCGTGAACAATGGGAAATTGAACCACTCTTCAGTATATGTAACGCCAGGAAAGCGGATCGTAGCATTTGACGCAATTTCGAGGGGGCATACACTGATACGAAGTTAGGCCGATGTCAGACTTTGCGAATCGCGCGATTCGCTACTAGCGATTCGCGCGATTCGCTAGCGTCCGCGGTCGCGTTGCGGTACCAGCCAATTGAGTGATTCACTGGCCGCGACGCGACCGCAGACGCTAGCGAATCGCGCGATTCGCAAAGTCTGACATCGGCCTACTTTGGTGGTTTGTCAAGCAGAAAGACGAATTTCCCGTTTGCGCGGCGCGAAAACTTTCTCGGCTGCAGAAATCGCCCAGTCTTCCACAGATTCGACATGAAACCTGGCGCTCTTGCAGAGAAGCGAAAAGTCACTCTCTGTCCTAGTGAACCACACCTGTAAGCCTAGCCCCCTTGTCGTGCGTTTTCTATCAGTGGCACTACTTGTGCGTTTGTGGGCCTCACCCACGAGGGATTGACCCATTGACTTATTCGGAAATGTGCCTTTAGTTTACTTATTTGAACTTATCATATGAATATGAATAGTATGAATAATAAAAATTGTACATAGTAAAATTGAAAAGTTTGGTGATCATCAGAATAGAAACAATCAAGACCGGTGAATAGTGAGAGTTTGATCTTGCGAAGGCAAACTGACGGCAAACCTGTGCAGTAGTCACCAACAAGCTATTCAGATCGAATGGACGATACGGACGAAACGGAAGCACCGGAGGTGGCGGTCGATCGTCTGTCGGTTTTGCATCACCGAACGCAGCCTGAGTGAGGGGATGAGCATGCAGGTGGATGGGGAATCGTGCAGGAGTTCAACACAGATTGTTAATAGAGGTGCAGGCGCTATCGCAAGACACGGGGGCATTATGGTAGCAATGCATTCAAAACTGCGTGAAACATGTCCTTTTCGTTGAAATGCGGATTAAACCTTAAGAGGGAGAGAGAGAATCCAGGTGCTGTGTCATTTCATTTTCCTTAGAGTTTCTGCCCCAGCTAGACTAAGTCCTAGAGAATGTCCCCACATGTTGCGATAGCGCCGAGGTGCATTCATCGGATGGAATGATTAACCATTACCAAATAAATTTCATAGGATAACATTCCTGTACAAAGTTGAAGCACAAAAGAATCCGGAAAATTCAAATTCAAATCACATAGTAAATAAGCATGCGGGTGCGAAATCAAACCCTGATTTATTTATATAGGAGAAGTGATGGTAATTTATGAAGAAGCTAGAGGCCTACCTTTATCCATGCTCTTGGCCTGGTCACGTTTTGTTTGAGCACAGCTCGAGCTCGAGCTTCAGCTTGAGCACGTGCTCGCTCAACAATTTGCTCTTGCTCTCTTCGGAGCAACTCTTCATGACGTCGTCGTTCCAGCTCTTCCAGAGACGGTCTTCTCGAGTCGACTCTCGTCTGATCTTCGGGTCTACAAATTTGAGCAATAATGATCTTCTTTCACAGGAAATAAACCCATTGAGTATTATCGGCACTCATGTCGTCAGAGGGGATCTTAAAGTGAGTGAGCCACTTACGGAACCTGGGTCTATGCTTCGAGAACGGGAAGAGATTCTGGGGAAGACGTGAGCAACCTCTCTCTTCTCCCGAGCGTTTCTCCGCTCTCATGGGCTCAGTTAGGGTCACCTGCCTTGTTTTGAGGGTCCTCCTCCTGAAGACATGAGCGCCTACTAATCATACTGAATATCAAAGACAGAACCTCGGTTGGAAACTGCTATCAACCGGTGCTGGGCCCCTTGGCCAGACGATCGGAGCTATCGCAGTGGTGGTGGTCGTCGTCGTTGAAGAGGATGTGGTTCTCTGTAAAGAAAAGCTATTGAGAATGAGCCGACAGCTTCACAGTCAAGTATTTTTATGTGCAGACTCAGCAGAAACAGGCCAATATTTTCTGTATCAAGACTGCCATTGAAGATTATTTTATTTTGATTGATATTTATTTGTATCGATATTTATTTTTGATTTATTTTTGATTCAAGAACAAGGAATACGAGAAAGGAACATGTAGCGCATTTGCCGTAAACGAGAAAGGCGCGGGTTCGCGTACCGCGAGGCAAGGTTTCGTTCATGAACCCACCATTTTCTGTAGAAATTTCACGCGGAAACTGCTCTTTAACAACACTTAACAATCAGAAACCTTTTCGAGCAAAAATCAATGAGAGAGGCTTGGCAAAATTCTACCCTCCCCTTTTATTCCTTCCTGGTACTTCACTGCTTCGGTTTGATACTTTTTTTTTTTAGCAGTATTTTTTTCGATAGCTATGTTTTTCCTGAAATCTTGTTCTCTCCTTTTGTCCCATTCACAAGACGTCAAATTCAGAAGACTGTATTCAAGAAGAACTTAACCCCTTCCTTCGTAGGCCGAGTGCCTTTCAGTCTCTTCGTTGTCGAATGACTGTTCCTAATCGCGTCACCGAGCTCCTCCTCCATTTGGCGGCCGCAGCTCCATAAGGATCGCGGTTCGGTGGTAGCGAGGTATCGGAGGTGTGTGGCAGGTTGCTCTGGCGTATTGCTGAATAATCTGCCTTCGTGCAGACCTGTACTGGGTGGATTTCTGGCCTCTGGATCCGAGTTGTTCACGGGATACTGTTGGTCGCGGGTTGTTCTGTTGTTCTGCTGGGATATCACTCTCCACGGTCGGGTACTGTGACGTTCGTAATTGTGGCCACAACAGCTCTTTTGATATCCAAGACAGGCGATTCCTCAAAGGGGGGTCTTTTCAAGACATAGAGCGTTTTTTCAAAAGTGGTTTACGCGAGTATTGTAGAGCCAGCTCATGTGTAATATACCCGAGGCATATTTCCATGTTCCCTGAACGCTCCACGGAAATGTTCAAAACAGCCGGGAGAGGTGAGTGCGAAGGTTCGACACGTATCCGTGATGACAAATTTTTGCAATTCATGTTGGCGCCTCCAAAAATTGCCGCAAAACATGACAATGACATCTATTCTCGACGATGGCACCATTTGGTGGCAATCTGGGGGCGCCAAACTATATTGCAAAAATTAGTCATCACCGGGGATCGAACTCTGGACCATTTCTTCACCACTGTTTTGACATTCCTGGAGGCGTTCAGGAAAAATGGATCATGGTTCTGTGTTCCTCGCATGAGCCCCTACAACATGCAGAAAACCATTTTGAAAAATGCGCTCCATGTCTTCAAAGGCTTCCCATGTCAGTCAACGAGCCATAAGAGATTGAACTGACCTGGGTGTTGTCGTTGTTGTCGTGGTGGTAGTCGATATTTGTGATGTGTAAGGTGAATACAAATCATATTTGTTCAGATAGTCCCTGCAATAGGCAATAGTTGCGAAAAATTCGACCAAAGATCTCTGAAGACACTGAAAATTGTGTTCAACTAGGACGGACGACAGATGCGATAATTCCATCAGGAACACAACGAGGCTGAACGGAGGCGATCTTCGGTCACAAAGAGAAAGAACGTGGACGCTGAATAGTCAGAAGATTGTCTAAATGCTTTGAAATCGAAATAATTGGAACCGGTTCCAATTTTTGGTTTCCTAATAGATGGTTGTAAGTGGAAATTGTAAATCTTTTGACAATGAAAGGTTTCGATTCTGGGAGGGATCTGATCATATCATTAACGGCGCCTACTTCATTGAGCTTAATGGAGTCTTCAACTGCTCCATGATCAGGGTCACTGGGTAGTTCAGGACAACTTTCTCTCAGTCTGGCATAGAATTTTGATGTGTAGTTTTCCGTTGTAGCCTGTCAAAATTCACATTAGCTTTTACTAGGCTTACGTTTCGGCCTCTTCGCCTTCGTCAGAGCCTGAAAAGTCGAAAAGCAATTGAGACCGATCCTTTCATGGGCCAAACAATCCTGAAGACAATTTCTCCAGACTACTAAACCAACAGGCGGTATCGATTGACCAAGAGTGCTACAAGGCTTACCTAGATCTTTGTCGCCGAGGCGCAAGATCACTGGGGCTGCGATGATATCCCTAACCATAAGTTTACCAGAGAAATTACACAACGCTAGTCCAATGGAGCTCTAACTGCCTTTCTAAGTTACCCCTATCAAGGGCGTGTCAACCGAGATGAAAAGTGACACCGCTTCACTGAAATTATAGATAAATCAAAACCATAGCCCTTCATCGGCTCTCGAGATCTAGTTCAGAAGTGATCAAGAGCAAAAGTGCCGATTAAAGATACAACTGCTGCCTCAAAAAGGTATGCCTATGACCAAATGGGCGTAGGCAAAAGTATGAATCTACTCCGAACCCGAATGGGACGTGTTGAATCCGTGGCGCATCCAGAAAAAGCATTTAGATGTCCCTTTGATTCCTTTCAGAAAATCAAACAACACGTCCTGTAGGCATGTCGTCATGTGAAGTGTCGGAAATGAGAACAATGCAGTTGTGCAGAATAACTCTTTTTGAAATATTGCTTTTTTCGACTTGGAAAAGTAGCAAGTAAGAAAAGAAGCACTGAAAGACTCCAACGCCTCTTGACCCTTAAGGGCATGGGCGATGCCCTTAGCGTACCCCTTCACTTAAGAAGCTTGTGCGACTAAATAAGTTTTTTGATAAATGGGGGGCCCTTGGCATAATAAGTGATTTTTTGACGAAGCACAAGAAAAGATAATACACTGCGTTTCATAATTATAGGTCCACCCTAAATTTTTGCTACCCCAAAGTTGCTGTGCATTTTTTGGAAATGCTGCTATCACCGTTAGATTCCTCATCACGGAAAACCTTCATAGTGTTTTTCTGACAAAGTTCCCCTCAAGTAACCCAATTAACTTTTTCTGAACGAATTTTCACCGTTTCGTGAATATCGGGCTACTCATAAAAAGTTCCCATTTCTCGTGATCAGTGAAGGAAATAAGGGAAGCGGGGATATATCTGAGCTCAGTCGACATCGAGTTTACCGTACCTCGTGTTACTCGCCTCTCTTCCCAGTAACAAGCTCAAGCCAGAGCACTTACTGAAGTGGGATGGCAAAGGAGCAAAATTTCCTCCCAAGCCGGCCGGCTCCTACGACCTAAGCAACTAAGTGCGAAATCCTGGTCAGTGCGGGGAGAAGAGTAGCTTAGGTAAATGAAGACCGCGTTTCCTTCAAGATTTAGGAGGAACTGGGCGTTTTCTCTCGAATTGTGTAAGGGGTCCGAACAAAGTTCGTGCTGAAATACGGCCTTCCGTGAGCAAAACCACCGTGTGGTGTGTACGTCAGCGAAGCAATACATCTTCAGCGGATTGATGAAGAGCGTTCCAAGATTATTTGAGCGCTTCAAGATCGCACGTCTCCATTTCAGCGTGGAAAAGGGCGCAACTTTATGAACGAAGGTTTGGCTGTTCAGACCCTTCGCGATCTTGGACTCTAGCTCCTTGTTTCGTGCTACAGGTGATCTGAGATCGACGTGAAAAAGTTTATTCTAGGTGGATCTGATAGAAAAAAAGCGTACGGGAGGGTTCCGTGAAAATCGTAGATGGTTTTGATGTAAGGTAATTTTGGCGAAGAATCCCTTATGGATTGAGGCTCTTTTGAACGACTGAGCGGCTAGAGCTCGTGTTTGTTTCCTTTCAAGAGGATTCCATAGGGTATCGTGAAGTTCTTCTGAAGCGACTGTTACCATCTTTCCGACAACAGCTCCCTCGAACCTTGATTTTTACGCACGATAACGCGGCTGTCCATGCCGGTCCTTCCACGCCAGATGGAATTGTGGGAAAAAATATGGCAGTTACCTGGTGGCCAACATGTTAGCTGAATCAGATTCCAATAGAGAATCATAAGGCCTTAATTGCTATAAAGTTCCACAGCAGAGAAAAGCAAAATGGAACAACCGAAGAGCTGAAAACGTCGATCATCAGCGCACAGACAAATTTCGATCCTACTGTAATAGCTAATTTGATTACCAGCATTCCAAAACGTATTATTGTGTTCCTTATGACTATGGGAGGACCATCCCATTGTTGAAAATTTGTGACGTTTTTTTGCTATAATAAAATCTCTCGAAAAGTGATCTGTAGTCATATTCGCGAAACGGTGAAAATACGCTCTAAAAAAGATATTTTAATTATTCTTAATCAAGATTTCTCCAAAAATCGAGTATCAAGGTTTTTCCTTATGGGGAAACTATTGGTAATAGCGGCATTTCCCAAAAATGCGCAGCAACTTTGGAATAGCAAAAAATTAGGGTGGACCTATATTTATGAAACGCAGTGTATATTATGAAAGATTCCGGATCAAGAAAATGCTGTGGTACGCACATAGGTTTTGACTCCACACCAACACGGCTCTTGAACCATCCGTTTCTGAAGGAGTAGCAGATCTGGACGAACATGCATGCGTAGGAGCTACCCGCGCTCAGGTTCACGGACTTCATCGTGTTCCTCTTTTAACCCAACTACACATGAGAGCCCCGCTCTTGTGACAGGAACAGTGACGATCACACAGCACCACAGCAGCTGCCTTCGTGTCCGAGGGCCCCGTAACAGAGATGTTTTTTCGTGGTGTTTCGGTTTTAACGTTGTCTTATACACCGCTATAGCAAAGCTCTAGAAAAGGCATAGTTGGAAAATATTCGTTTTTTCTCTAACTTTAATTTGTGATATTGAATTGATAACTGTAATGTTATCGTTAATGGTCCTGTGTCTAATGATGTTCTAGTTGTTGGTTTTCTTGGGTGGGTTGGGGTGTTTCTACCCCGTTGTCTTATATAATCGTTTGATAAATACAATAAATAAATAAGCCCGAGATATTGCTGTGCCATAGAGCATCGTGGTGTTCACCTTATACGACTTAGCTATCCTCGATGTGGGCGAATACATGGCGTGTCACATACCAAAACTTCTTCCTTTTCATAGCATTCTTCTCTTCTCCCCTGAAGCTACTTGTTGACTCCTCCAACCAGAACCAGGAACATTGTTCAACTGTACAACTTGTAGTAGATGTAAATGCAGTCATAGTAGGAGATAGCGCGTAAATTGCTTTTTTAATGCTGCACAGCGTTTAAACGTTTGAGATTCAATTTGCTGGCAAAGAATGTGCAAATGGACTGCGGAACAAAACTTGCATTAATTCCCGAGCAACCTAATGGATTCACGTCCTTCCTTGTTGAAACCTTGGCATTATTTTTGTCGGGTGTTTTGTATTCTTTTGAAAGACCAAATTGTGAATTGCATGTTTAACTTAACCTGCTCGTGGGTGAAAATGTAGTTTGGGGGGGCCACTCATAATATCTAATCGAACTGGCAATATCTAATCGAAGTGGAGCTGCGGTAGGGCGGTCATATCTAATCACCATCCAGAGCACAGTCTCTGAGTGTATGATTAGATAGGGATACCAATCCGTGGTTCCATACAAAATCGGATACCTGGGAGGCCCTTTCTTCGAGGGTTTGCATGGCAGTCGCAAGAAGGTTTGATGAAAGTAAGGAGCCAGCAGGGTAGCAGCCATTTTAGCCCCTGAACCATATGACAAGGG